CCCCCAAGAAAAGAAGAGGCTTGGGCTGAAATTGAAGGGTTTACAAGCTCTGGAAATCACACCAGGAATTAGAATTAGCTGTGAAATGGTCCCCATGATGCCGCCGAGACCTCTCCACCTGTCACACATCACCTGTAGTCACAGGGAAGCCCCTCCGGTGATCTCTCACACAATGTACAGAATACATATGAATCCCACTCCGAGGATTACCGCCATGTACTTTACACGCAGAACACAGTCATATGTGATCAGTATGATGTATACAGAGATGACACGTATGTACCAGCGGATATTAATGAACGGAGAGACAGGCGGCACAAATCATACTCAGCCACTCATGGGAGCTTATTATAGAAAGGGTGTCAGGGAGAGAGAGAGAAGAGGGAAGAGGAGAGAGAGAGAGAGAGAGAGAAGGGAAGATGAGAGAGAGAGAGGGAAGAGGAGAGAGAGAGAAGGGAAGAGGAGAGAGAGAGAGAAGAGGAGAGAGAGAGAGGGAAGAGGAGAGAGAGAGAAGGGAAGAGGAGAGAGAGAGAGAAGAGGAGAGAGAGAGAGGGGGAAGAGGAGAGAGAGAGAGAGGGAAGAGGAGAGAGAGAGAAGGGAAGAGGAGAGAGAAGGGAAGAGGAGAGACAGAGATGAGAGAGAGAAAACAAGAGAGAGAGGGGGGGAAAGAATGAGAGAGAACGAGAGAGAACACAATAGAGAGATAATAGAGAGATAGAACAATAGACAAACGGATGAATAGATAGATTTGCAGGTCAAGGAACATTCGAATCTCTGACCAGAGTTTACAGCCTCCAATACCCGGAGACATGAGGACATTACACCGCAGGATGATCGACCCCGGGACAGAGAGAGAGGGACAGAGAGAGAGATGAGAGAGAGAAGGGAAGAGGAGAGAGAGAGAGAGAAGGGAAGAGGAGAGAGAGAAGGGAAGAGGAGAGAGAGAGAGAGAAGGGAAGAGGAGAGAGAGAAGGGAAGAGGAGAGAGAGAAGGGAAGAGGAGAGATGAGAGAGAGAGAGAGAAAGGGGGTGAGACAGATGAAGGGGGAAGGGAGGGAGGAAGGAAAAAAAAGTAGCGGAGAGAAGGAAGAAAGTAAGGAAGGAATGGAAAAAGTAAAGAAGGAAGGAAGGAAAAGAGAGAGGGAAGAAAAGAGGAAAGAGAGAAAGAAAGAATTGGAAGCAGTACAGAAAGCAGGAAGTAAAGGAAAGGAGAGTTGGAAGAAAAGAGTTAGGGAAGGAAAAAGAGAAGGAAGGGAAAGAAAAAAAAACAAGAAAGCAGGATTGGGAAAAGTAAGGAAGGCAGGAAGTAGAGAGGAAAAGAATGAATTAGGGAAGGAATAAAGGAAGGAAGGAATAAAGGAAGGAAGGAAGAAGAGAAGAAGGAAGACTGATATACTTATAGAAGAGACTTTATTTAGCGCGGAGACAACTGACTGACTTTTTGGCCTCTCTGCAGACAGACACAAACATGACAGAAGTGCAATAAGAAGAAGGCTCAGAATACAGAGCGCTGAGCGGACATTTACCTGGAAGTACTCCATGGTTTGCAGCGCGGGGTGATTGCTCCAGAACAGCCCAGGTGAGTGTGAAGGTAAAAGTTTGCTGCCGCTCTCCTGGGTGTGACCTGACACAGTCCACCCCCCATTCTTCCTCTCGTGGGATGGACGGAGCAAAACATGTCTCACCAGGTGGATTATTCCTGCGCTGCTTTGTTCCTGAGCCGTGATCTCTTATGTAACGCTTTATAAGAGCGAATGTTTACTGATCACATCTTCTGCACCCGTCTTGGGCAGCGGGGGGAAACTACAAACTCCAGCAGGGCCCCATTGAGGTTCTCATTCCAGTGTGCAGAATTTTCTCATCGTCAATGCTCATTAATGAACCTGCTGCACAAATGTTAATAACTAAACCCGAGAACAACAATGTTATATATGTCATCGTACCTGCCCTCAGAGGTGGCGGCTGCTTAAGCTTTCTTTTTTCAGGCTAAGAACATTTTCAGCAAGTACAGAAAATCCTGGTTGATCCCGCCAGAAATGCTGTGTCTTTGTCACTTCCTGTGAGATGAACTGGAAGCATAAAACAATGTTGGCTTTCCTCTGTAAGCTACTTACCCCCCCCCCCACACTCCCTATCGCCAGCTAGACTGAGGTACATCTAGGGTTTGACCCCTGCTGCACTAACCCCCACTTCCTACATTCCTCTCCTCCTCCCCTCTCCTCCACCATCCCCCCTCCTCTCCTCTTCCTCCCCCCCCCCCCCCCCATCCCCCATGTAATGGAGATAAGGAGAAGAAGACATGCTTGTCCAGGGTGACCCCGATGTAAGCAGTGGGCTGGGTCTTGGGAGGAGTTATGCAAATATCGAAACGTCTTGATGGGTGGATGCCAGTCTGGAAAAGTGGGGGCTCCTAGGCAGACTGTATTTGCATAAAGACCCACATAGGTAGCACAAACATGTGATGCTGAGCCTCCATGATTGAAAGAATTGAGGAACCAATTAATGAAAGGGGCGGGGCCAGGGACAGTCAGGCTGGGGAGGAAAGCGCTAGATAATGCTGGACGTCCTCCAGCCAGGAAATGAGGCGGGCTCTATCTCACTTGCTGCAGCTTCTAATGCACATTGTGAGAAGCTCCCAGGGTGCGGTGAAATCAGAGGAAGCCATTCCAGTCCAGGAGAAGAGCCACTACAACTGCACAAGACTGAAGGGGAGGACGGAGGTCTGATAGGAGACTGAAGGGAAGGTCGGAGGTCAGATAGAAGACTGAAGGGGAGGACGGAGGTCAGATAGAAGACTGAAGGGAAGGACGGAGGTCAGATATAAGACTGAAGGGAAGGCCGGAAGTCAGATAGAAGACTGAAGGGAAGGACGGAGGTCAGATATAAGACTGAAGGGAAGGCCGGAAGTCAGATAGAAGACTGAAGGGAAGGACGGAGGTCAGATATAAGACTGAAGGGAAGGACGGAGTTCAGGTAGAAGACTGAAGGGAAGACGGGGGTCAGATATAAGACTGAAGGGAAGGCCGGAAGTCAGATAGAAGACTGAAGGGGAGGACGGAGGTCAGATAGAAGACTGAAGGGAAGGTCGAAGGTCAGATAGAAGACGGAAGGGAAGGACGGAGGTCAGGTAGAAGACTGAAGGGAAGGACGGAGGTCAGCTTTATTCTGAGTATAGGTCTCCCTCTAACCAGGACACAAAAGCTGCGATGGTTCCATGTTATGAAATCCAGCTGTACGGACTCATGATTATATATTGCAGCACCGGACACCGCAGATATAATGTCTCCGATCTCATGTTCTGATTGCACAAGAAACACACAATTGGTAGTATTGGATTTAACACCATTTTACAGGCGAATTACCGCAATGGTCACATGACCACTCCATTGTGTTGTATCTGAGAACATTCTAAATAATGATATAAAACAAATGAGAAGAAATAAGATACCAAATGTATTCAGACTGAAATGCAGGTGTACTGGGAGTTGTTTTCAGCGTGCGCGTATGCGCTCGCTGTAAACACAGTGCAAAATGTTCCGGTGTTCTATCGAAAGGTCCAACTCGTCTAAATCTCCAACTACCTCACTGCCGGGTACTTGCAAGTTGGAGATTTGCAACCAGACGGCGTTAGACTGCAAAACACAAAAGACTGACGGAGCTCCGTACAGCTGCATTTTAACAATCTTCAGCAGGTGGCAAACTCGACGTGTATTCTGTAAGCGCTATGCGCGCATGCGCACCGCAGCTGTACTGAGCTCCAGTCTTTCTGAGCACTGGAAGTGAGGTAGTTGGAGATTTCTATGAGTTGGAGCTTTCGATAGAACACCAGTACTCACTGCAGCAGCCATCATTGTTGTGTGCAGGGACGCACTGCACATGTGTGCATGCGCAGTACGTCCCCGCTGCCACAACCACTATGACAATAATCCCCAGGGCTGGCGGACATTTTGGTTGTGGTAGCAGGGACCACAACCAAAGCCTGCGCAAGATGGCATAAGATTTGTCAACCTGCGAGGGGCGATGACGCTTGTTTTCTAGGGCCGTGTGTGTACACTTGCCATACGGACACTTGGACATTGTCTGTGTGGCAGGTGTACAGACATGGCGACAGACAAGCACCATGGGGGGTGATAACGTTTGCCGCAAGGGCTCCTTTCTTAATTTTTTGGGGGCGATTCTATTTCGCAAAAAAAATTAAAGGGCCGGCGGTAGGTGACGGTACTGCGAACTAGTGGTACCGCCGTAAAAAAAGCTTTGGTTATATATATATCCCCCTGAAAATGCTGGTTATTTGGCTGCCTTTGGCCTCACTGACTGTAATAAATGTACGGCTAGTAAAGTCAGTGAAAAGTCAATGGAAGTCAATGGAAAGTCAGTGAAAAGTCAATGGAAGTCAATGGAAAGTCAGTGAAAAGTCAGTGAAAAGTCAGTAGAAAGTCAGTGAAAAGTCAATGGAAGTCAATGGAAAGTCAGTGAAAAGTCAATGGAAGTCAATTGAAAGTCAGTGGAAAGTCAGTGGAAAGTCAGTAGAAGGTCAGTGGAAAGTCAATGGAAAGTCAGTGGTTCAAAATGTATTGAAGCCTTTGGATTAAAATAACAGCCAGACAACTACCATTTCCAAACAGCAATGGCAGCCCTCATTGGATTGAACGAAGAGCCGTCGGTAAATCCAGTAATGGCAGCCTTTGTAAAGGTGTCTAAGCATAGAAATTCGGACACAGAATTCCCATCACTAAGCTGATTCTGCCCTCAGGAACAGAGTAAATGTTCAAATCCCAACCCAGCTCATCTGTCTTCCACGTTGTCTTTAATGATTCTGCCTTGAGCCTGTCCCCTCCCCCGTTGTATACTGCACACCTTCCAATGCTTTAAAGTGAGCCTATCCCCCTCCCCCGTTGTACAATGGGCACCCTCCAATGCTTTAAAGTGAGCCTATCCTCTCCCCTGTTGTATATTGGGGACCCTCCAATGCCTTAAAGTGAGCCAGTCCCCTCTGCCACTGTATATTGGGTACCCCCAATGCCCTAAAGGGAACCTTTCCCTTCCTCTGTTGTATACTGGGCCCCCTTCAATGCCTTAAAGTGCCCAGTATACAACGGGGGAGGGGACAGGCTCACTTTAAGGCATTAGAGGGTGCCCACTATACAACGCTGGAGGGGACAGGCTCACTTTAAGGCATTAGAGGGTGCCCACTATACAATAGGGGAGGGGACAGGCTCACTTTAAGGCATTGGAGGGTGCCCAGTATACAACGTGGGAGGGGACAGGCTCACTTTAAGCCATTGGAGGGTGCCCAGTATACAACGTGGGAGGGGACAGGCTCACTTTAAGGCATTGGAGGGTGCCCAGTATACAACAGGGGAGGGGACAGGCTCACTTTAAGGCATTAGAGAGTGCCCACTATACAACGGGGAAGGGGACAGGCTCACTTTAAGGCATTGGAGGGTGCCCAGTATACAATGGGGGAGGGGATAGGCTCACTTTAAGGCATTGGAGGGTGCCCAGTATACAATGGAGGAGAGGACAGGCTCACTTTAAGGCATTGGAGGGTGCCCAGTATACAATGGAGGAGAGGACAGGCTCACTTTAAGGCATTGGAAGGTGCCCAGTATACAACGGGGGAGGGGGCAGGCTCACTTTAAGTATACCCTTGGGCCCCCTTCTCCAGGGTCTCCCCATGCATTTCAACCCCCCATCCACACTGTATCCATAGCTTCCTATTATATGGGGGGTGGCTATGGGTGCTATTAAAAAGTAAAGACACCAAAGGGTTCCTAATACACAGGAGGGGTGTTGATTTTTGTTTTGGTTATAGACAGGTTTTCTTTCATTCCAGTTATAGGCACCTCCCCCTGTACGGGGGATTGGGGGGGGGGGTGTATTGGGTCATGCCTTTGTATATCCAATTCCATCTTCCTTCAAAATCAATCCTATTCAGCTCCACGTAATGAAAGCTGCTAATAAACTGTAATGTGTCAATGTTGCTCCGCACCGCCAAGAATTATAGAGTAACGTGGAGAACTTTTTAGACTCATCCCCCTTCCATTGCGGGCCCCGCGTCAACAAGTAAGTGGGACCAGTTAGGATCCGGGTCTAATGCTCCTCTTAAGCTGACCATGTTGGGTCGTTCCATGGCGTTTTATTATTATTTTTAGCCAATGGAAAGCCAGTTACTATACTGATGGTCTGAGGGCCCTGTGTAGAGCCATTCCTGTTCCTGCCACTAGGTGGCGCTGAAGCATAAGCATTTCCTATGCTCCCCTGCGCCATCTAGTGGCAGACACAGGAATGGTGTGAACGGCATTCGCTCAGTGGATAGCTGGGCAGAAGATTTATAAATCAGACCCCAGAGTGACAAGCGTTGAGGCTCCTCTCATGGACTGAAACGGCTTCCTCTGATGCCACTGCACACTGCGAGCTTCTCACCATGTGCATTAGAAGCTGCAGCAAGTCAGCTGCTCCCGCCTCATTTCTTGGCTGTCTCTCTCTCTGTCACTCGGCTCTCACCTCCTGTCAGCATGTTCCTTGCACCTGATTGGAT